TCTCAGGCACCCCCTCCTGGGGTGACTGCTTCATGTCTGCGACGGTGGCACCACCTGCATGGTGGACACTGGCGCGCAGCTCAGTGTCCTACCAACTTCGCAGCTGCTCGCAGGAGCTAAGGCGGAGCCCACCAGCTTGTGGATCACTGCAGCCGACGGATTCTCAGAGACCACCCACGGCTTCACTGCGAGGGACGTCAAGCTGAGAGACCGCAGCTGCACGTGACGGCCCCTGGCTACTGATGTTCACGCAGCAATAATCGGGGCTGACTTCCTCCACCACTATGATCTCGCGGTTGACCTGAGCTGCCGCGCGCTGCTACTGCCCTCTGGTGACGTGTTGGTGACGGGTTCCCATCCTCCCCGGTCCAACAGCCTGCAGGGGCTGCAGCTCGGCGCCGACCACCTGGCCCGGCTCTGGGACGAGTTTCCCGAGCTGACCTCGCCACCATCTGCCAGAGCTCCAGTCCAACATAGAGTCACGCACTTCCTTGAGATCAGGGGGCCGCCCAAGGTAGCTCGCGGTGCGCCGACTGACGCCTGGCCGCCTCGCCGCTGCCAAGGCAGAGGTGAAGCAGGTGCTGGAGGACGGCACCATGCACCCCTCCAAGAGCAGTTGGGCGACCCCGCTGCGCCTGGGGCCCAAGGGTCAGTCAGGCCGCTGGCGGGTCTGTGGTGACTACCGTGCCTTCAGCGCTGTCGCCATCCCGGACCGTTACCCTGCGTCGCACCTCCAGGACTTCGCTACATACAGGCCTACACGGTTGCAGTTTCTTTTCAAAGCTGGACCTCTCCCGCGCCTTTCACCAAAGTCCGGTGGAGCCGACCCACATCACCAAGACGGCTATCATCCCCTCCCCCCCATTCGGTTTATATGAGGCAACGCGAATGCCGTTCGGGCTTCGTAATGCTGCCCAAACGTGTAAACGCTTGATGGACGAGATTCTCCGCGGACTACCCGGCGTCTTCGTGTACATGGACGACATCCTGGTGGCCAGTGCCACCCTGACCGACCACAAGCGCTGACTCTGGAACGTTTTCTCCCGTCTCAACGACTACGGCATCGTGGTCAACCGGTCCAAGTGCGTCGTGGGAGCGCCTCACCTGGAGTTCCTGGGGCACCTCATCACGCTGAAGGGCATCACTCCGCTGCCGTCCAGGGTGGCCGCCATTCGCGACTTCACGCTGCACAAGACAGGACGCCAGCTCCGCCGATTCATCGGGATGCTGAAATTCTACCACCGCTTCGTGCCGTCGGCGGCGGAGCGCCTCGCCCCACTCCACGCGCTGATCACGTCTAAGGCTCAGTCGCAGCGCGAGCCCCTGTACATCTCCCGTGTGCGCTGGAGGTACCTGAGAGGTAAATGCGACCGCTGAGCGACCAGGGTATCCTGGTAGTTTTCCAGTTCCCTTAGTGTCCATAATTTGAAGGGCAGCGAAGGTCTAAGTAGTTGTAAGGGTCCTTAAATACTAGTGTACCCCTGGCAATCAGGAAGTCCCGACTGAGCGGCCAGAAGGGGCGCGCGAGTTTACCAGAAGGGCTTCCTGGAATGCTAGACGTTGCTACGGTGTTGTCAGAACTTGTGTGTGACAATATGTTTTGCTCTTCTTATTCAGTATGGTCATTTTTTGGACTTCACGGTTCCGGAAAGAGCTCCTCCCAGGGGTTCCTGGACCCTTTGCCCCTCCCCCCCCCTTCAACAGCCAGACCCCAAAAGAGTTTTTAGCAAAGGCTTGAGACCCCATGCATTTTCAGATTGGGGCTGAAGTACTTCTCCGTCCCCTTTCAGATTTCTAATCGGTTACTATTAATGCGCATGATACATTGGTTCCCTCTCTGACACCGAAGGCCCTCTGACTGGGATGGTTGACCCGGGTCAACACAGGGCCACTCACCGACCCAAAAAGGTCCCAAGCGTAGCGGGTGTAATATATAGCACAGGGATCCCAGTTCGACACATTCGGGCCCTAGAGAAAACGGGCAGAAGGACCCTGTCCGGTGCTGGTTTTTGACTGACATGAGGGTCTTCCATTAAGGCGCCTGTCAAGAAGAAGGAGGGGGGGGGGGGGGGAGGCTCCGGTCCAGCACGAGCGAGATCCCGTGATGTCCGACATGTCCAGATGTCCGGTCCGCCGAGATGTGTACCATGGCGAACCGAGTGAAACCGAGTCGGATGCCTCGGGCCCTGATTCGAAGATGGCGGCGTGCCCGACTGAGCTGGCAGTGTTTCGACCGCGGACGGGCTGCCCCACGCGCAGGCCTCGCGCGCGTGTGGCGGGGTTCCGTTCTCGGGCGAGGGACGGCACGCGCGTAAATGCGCTCTTTATTTGGCGGCCGGGCTGCCTCGTCCGCCGGCCTGCCGATGGAGTAGCTGCGGGCCGGACCGTCGAGCTGGGCAGCCTCTGGGCTAGGGTGTGTATCCGAGATCTGTGTCCAACCGATTGCACATTATTATTCCCACATATAGACAGTGATTGAGCGGAGGCATTGTTTGCAAATTTGGCGAGCGGCGGCTTGTTTGTCGGGACGGGCTGTGATTCCGATTGGGGCTTTACGTCTCACCGGCTGCTATGGCTTTTTCGAGGCGGTGCGCCTCTATAACGTATTTATCAGGCATTAGGTACGTGGGATGCCGTAGTGGTGTGGCCAGTACCCCATCCCAGGATACAAAGGTCCAGAGATGAGTACCCCAACCACTAACCACCATGCCACCATCACCTCTCAGCGGCGCAAACTGCACCCGTCTCGACTAACTCCAGACTGGTGTTGCTGGACCCCAAATTCCATACTTAAGAGGCTCTGAAGCGTAAAAGGAAAAAGTGGGTCAAGATTGATGAAGTGGATGGCAAATACAAGCTCACGATTTTCCCAATTCATTCAGCTTATATATCGTGAACCAGCTCAGTGACATACACTCGGCTCCGCTGCCCATATGGTGAATCAACAGTGCCTTTAAGCGCAGCATTTGCGCACTGTTATGTGTAACGTTTGAACGGCAGCTGCATACTTTCGCAGTCAACGTTTGCTTTTCTACTTTCAACCAGGAGAGCGGTTCCCTATTCAGTTGCATGGGATTCATGCCCCGCCGTAACTTGGGTTGCAACCCGCAGATTTGTGAAAAAGTGAGCCAAATTCGGAGACAAACTAATTTGTTGGCGTATTATCACGGTGCTCTGCGTTGTATTGCCATCGCTCAGCCAACTGACTTATTTTGGTAAACCACGCCCGTTTAAAACGTACCTGATTGAAGAGATGAATTGTTTGTGGGCTGGGCCATTGAGCGTGTCTCACCAGGGAGTAGAATCCGGATTCAGCTGATGAGACAGCCCCACCCTCTCTCTTTGAGAGTAAGGCATGTACAATTCCGAAGAAGTCCCATTTGCAGGTGCGTGTGAAAGAATTTGCAATTCGGGGGAGGGAGGGGAATCAGTCAAGTAAAATCACAAACAGCATAGATTAGCGTGCCAGCAGCTGGAGATCTATATGCGCGCCTACCTGGAGCAGACATCAGATCAGTCCGCCTTACACATCAGTCATCAATTCCTTCAAAAACGAGAAACATCACCAACACATACAGTAAATAACGGAACCAGATACCGCGGATAATTGTATCCGTAGCCCGCAATACCAAACAGCAGCCACCCCGGCAAGTGCTTTCCACGATTACCGTGCAGCGACTGCCGATTAACCAGCTATTTCCGATGCCACGAGCCAGGGATCGAAGTTTTCAATTACTTAATGCACCTGCTGCCAAGGGCGTGCTGACGCGGCAAACTTTGTGCGCTCAAACAAAACGCTGCCCACATCCATGCACGGCGGTTTAACTGGGCAGCACGGTACCGTATAACGTCACTCGTCGGCTGAGGCGGGCGACATCGGCTCCGGTAGCCCTCTATCGGGCGATATCTTAACGATTAGGTGAAGGGTTGCGAGAAAGTGGGACAGTATCCCAACCCGTGGATCTCACGCACGCTGAACTTTATGAACACTGGACTTTATGAACGCTGGACTTTATGATTTTCCTCTGTCCGGTGGTTTTGGACGATTTCTGGACGTTTTGAACGCTGAATGCCGCCATTATGAACCTTTTGACCGCCGGACTTTATTAACTCAGGAGCTTTTAAAACGCATCCTGTCTATTTCATACCTAATTCACCAGGTACCAGTAGTGTAGAAAGTGGCAAGTTTGAGGCTTGTTGGAGGATTATTCCAGTGCGTAATATAGGTGGCGCTAGTATCGAATACGACTTTCTTGGCCTATCAAGGACAAAACCGCTCTCGCGTCACAAATATCAGCATTGGTGCGTTGCGACGGACCTGAAAGTTTATCATAAATCCGTGTGCCAAGAAAAAACTTTGTCTCAGTTGATTCCAAGAGATTCATCTCCTCGATGGCACACCCTATTGTGCAGTATCAGGTTTCACTAGGAATTAGTCATTTCACTCAACTCAGCTTCACTCAACCCACTGCAGCTACAATAATTTCCTTCCGTTTAATTTGTTTCTTTACACCGACAGAAATAGTTTAACCTTTCAGACACAATTCATTTTACGATTTGTTTCCTGTCTTATATGCCTTTCCTCGACGGCAACAGTGCAACCAGCTCTGCCTGCTTCCGCTGCCTCTCACGCTGTGGCGCGAGGGGGCGGCGGTCCGGTCACTCACTGCTCGAGTGACCCTCGAATGAACCTTTGCTGTGAAGATACTGTTAAGATACTGTTGTGAAGATGCTGTGAAGATAAGGCATCCCCGTCCTGTGACCCAGCTTCTGACCCCGAAAGTCACGTGATATTGCTAAATAAAGGTCATCTGATGTTATCGTGCCATAACTGACCTTGAACCTTTTTGTCCGGGAAATTGGAGTTTGTCGCTGAGTGAATCGCTGAATAAATCGCTAACTTCAAGGACACCCTTGGCCGTGGGTGCGCTGTGTTTGGGCGGGAAATGTGTTGTAAACAGCGTGCGATAGTATGGGAAGTAAAGACTGGTATAGGGAGCAAGACACTGTAAGAACCGTATGAATATCGTAAGTAGTTCTTGACGCAAATTTAGATCACTGGTCCTTACGTCGATGGCGGTCTTGCTTCCTGCTGTGATGGTGATGTGTCCTGAGGTGGTATTACCAAGGCTGATAGTGGTAACATAACATAGTGGCTGAATACACAGTGGCTCATAACATAGTGACTGAAAATAGCGGTCAGTGCAGAGTATGGTTTTGATATCTATGCTCTTTCCCATGTTAAGAGGTTTGGTTTGGTTTGAGTGGAGTGCAGTCAGCTTCACTTGCTGTTTATTATTTCCTAAGAAATATTGAGTGTGTTTAAAAACATGAATGTGAAGACAACCACAATTCATGGACATTTTGTCATGGTGCCCAAGTGCATGACAAGTTGCAATAAACCTACTCTGAAACCCCATGTTATGCTGCTGCCCAAAGACAAAAGGCCTCAGCGTCATTTTTCAGAAATAAACTGCTTTGTATTACTGGGTGTTGCATAAAGAACTGCGTCTTGTGATGCCAACTGAAAAAGTGGGAACACTTCTACTCAGAATGTATCCCAATTATCTTTTCATGGTATCATATGATGTTTGTTTTATGAAATCCTAGAAATGCATTTGAACAATCTATGTAATGATGCATAGACCTTTTTGCATCTGGATGGCAGCATGGTGTTGCTGAAGAGTTCTGCTCTGAGCCATTATCATCTCATTGCAGGCAGACTGATCACTTGGGTATGCCAACTGATTAGCACAAGAGAGTGTTTGGTGTTTTAGAGATTTACAACATTTTGTGAGTCATAGATTCTGGGATCTGATGAGGGTGCTGATGGTTTTCCCCTTCTACCTCAGATGTTATGGATCTGCTGTTCATCTTTTGATGCAAAATCAGCATTTACATAGCCCCCATTTGTCAGAACCAGCCCTCCATTCTATAGGCCATATTGCTGATACCAAGAAGAACCATAATGCTAGAACAGGGATGTGAACATGAATAGTACCATAGGGGATGCTGTCCCATATAGCCCAAGCTGGCCTGCTTGCCTTGGCTCCAATCCACCATGGTGGCACTTAGTCCAGACATCCACAACAAGTGTGGTCTAGACCTACATGATGCTCATTTGTAGCAGTGTGTTCTTCATCCAGAAAAGTGTCATGTTCATTCTAGACAAATGTAGGCCCTCCAGCCTCCTGCATTAGAGTGTCTGGCATCATGGTTAGGTCAAACTGGACAGGCCATGGTCTGTGACGTGGGACAGGGGCCATTGATGGCTGAGGTGAGCATGCTGGTGCCCTGTCACTGAGCAGACCCAAAACCGGTCTGGTCGGCCGAAGCAGCACCAAGATCACCAGCCCTGAAACAGATGCCAGACTTATGAGTCGCACAGGTGCACCCGCGCCTCGACCTGACGCATCGACGCCGGCGTCGCTGCGTGGACGCCAGCGCCGCTGCGCGCACGCCGCATCACTGGGCTCCGGCATATGTCATTAGCTGTGCCGAGTGCACGGCAGTTTTGGTTGTATGCTGCGGGCCCACGTCCGTCGTGCGTGACATTTATTAATCCTTGTGAATAATGTGGCTGCTCCTGGGACGCCGCGTTATCGGAAAACTTGTGCTGTTCTACAGTTTATGTCCACGGACTCGTTGGGCTGAGTGACGGTGTGCCGATCCGAAACTCAATGGATGGCTATGTTGAGCACGCCATCCTGTGGTGCCGCAGTCACGCTGCCTGCTGCCGACCCCTGGCGATCCCCGGCCCGCGGCGCAGCGCTCTCTATCGCAGCCGTGTTTTGTAGTGCTTTTTCTGTTATAGGAAGGCTGCTGGACTGCAAACACGGTGTTTCGTATTAATTGTGAGGACATCGTGATTTGCTGGTCTGATGTGTATCCCTTAGACGTGCTGCCATCTGTCCCTCGTGGCTGCAGGCCAGGCCGCACGCGCCGCCGCCCTGAGCGCTCTGTGGCCGTTCGACTGAGCCCGCTGCCCGCCTGCAGGACGATGGAGGACGACTCGGACTCCGAGGACTCGATGGACACGCTGGTGTTCCCGGACGCGCGGCGAGGGCACTGGCAGCAGCGTGCGCCACACGAGCCGCCCGACCACGTCGCCAAGGTAGACAGCTGGCTGCGAGCGCAAGAGGCCGACAAAAACGGGAACCGGACGGCGCCGCAGCCGGGCTTCGTCAGCCTGTTCGCCGTGCCGGCCGGTACCGACCACCGGCGGCCGATGGCAACCGAGCGCCTCCAGCCCGACCTACCGGGGGACCGGTCGGCGGCGGGGCCGGTGCCGGAGCCGGAGCCGGAGCCGGAGCCGGAGTCTTCCAAGTCTTCCTCAAGGCACGAGCAAGCGAAGCCATCGCGAGCAGAGCATACCACCGGAATGGAGCGGCACACGAAAGGGGAGAAGTCGGCCGTACGCCAGAGCAGCCGTACTAAGAGTGTGCTGGGTTCCAGCACTGGACCTTTTGAACCTGAGTTACCCAGTGCGCATAGTGAGATCTCAGTGCAGGCGCTTGCTGTCCCACCGCGGGCAGCAGATGGTTCTCTGTCACGCAGAGATGACTTAAGCAAGCATGAGCTGATGAAGGCCTCTAGTGTGCCTCCATTAGAGAAGGCTGGTAAGTTTCCAATGGAAAAGGTTGGCATGCCTCTAGCAGAAAAGGCTGGTATGCCTCCAGCTGAAAAGAGCGGCCCGGTTCAGCACTCTGTGATGGATGGGGAACAGCCCATCCCGGGACCTGTCACTGCATCTGTAAAGTCAGCGAGCAGTTGTGGCCTGCGACCGGCGGTGGATGAGGAGTGGGAGAGTGCCGATTCCTTCAGCGACACCCCAGATGAAAGCCAAGCGAGGTTTGATGAGCTGCTGGAAGGCATAAACAGGGATATTCACGAGGGGAAGTTCGCAGATCTCAAGGAGCTTCCCACGGCCAGAGTTGCTGCGAAGGAGAAGGCCATAGACTACGGAGAGCGTCCGCCTGGGATCGATGCACGCGTGTGGCAGCCCCCGGGTGCGGTTCCGGAGGGACGCAGGACTTTGCTCTGGGGGCTGGAGGGAGCGCCAGACTCGTACTCGGCTGAGCAGCTACCGAAGGATGTCCCCGACGCCGACAACGAGGGAGCTCATGGAGCCGTCGGCGAGGCGGCGCTTGAAGGTGGGAGTGCTGCTGAGGTGGCCTGCGCTGCCCCTCTGACGATGACTGCTGGGGACGTGGCGGCACAGCTCACCACCACTCGCTGGCTGCCAAATGTCGACGCGTCGCCCGGAGATGGCATGACAGCCAGCTCCGGCGCCACAGACGTCAGCTATGCGCCAGCTGCCAAGGGAACGCCAGCGGACTGGCATATGCCAGACACCGCCCATAAACTAGCCAGCTCCCACGTGCCAACTATGACTCCCTTGCAGACGATATGTGCAGATGGCGTCAGCTCGGGCTGCGTGGAAGCTGTCGGCGCTGGTGGCCCGGCGGCTGCCGTTCTCGTCAGTGGCGCGCAGTCTGCGGCGGCGGACCGGCCGCGCGTCTGCCCGGACGACTGCAGCTCGATATCGAGCGGCGACGACGTGCCGCCGATGCCGCTGGCGTACAGCCCTATCTCGAGTGACGACATGGAGGCGGTCGACGGGCCGGGGCCAGTGTCAGGGGAGTCGGCCCCGCCGGGCGGACGGCTGCCGTCGGTCGGCGCGACCGAGCCGCCGGGGAGCGCGCCGCAGCCGCGGTCCGACTCACAAGCGTCGATGGTGGAGGCAGAGGCCATGGAGATTGATCAGACCTCGAGGTCTTACCTGAGGCCCCGTGTGTCTGCTGACGGGACGCGCGGCCAGGTCGCCGCCGCCCTGCAGCCGGGGCCGGAGCCGGAGCCGGCCGGGGCCTCGATGACCGCCGCGACGGGGAGCGTCGCCGAGGAGGGTGTCGCTTCGGAGCCGCACGTGTCGCGTCGACGTGCAGAGACGAGGACGTTCAGCTCGCAAGCCGTGCAGACGGACGCCGCCGATTGTGACGTCTGCCCGCACGGTCGGAGCGCGCCGGCCGCCGGCTCTGGCGACGCGTCTCTGCACCAGCAGCTGGCCGAGGTCGAGCGGCTGCTGGAGAGCGTGTGGAAGGCGGCGCCGGCCGTGGAGGGCCTCAGCACGGCTCGCACCGTACTGGACGGCGTGCGCGAGGGCGTCGACCTGGCGGAGGCGCGCCTGAACCCGTCTCAGGTCCGGGTTCGTCGGCATGTGCGTGCTCGCCGTGGCCGGGATACTGGCCGCCGTGTACAACGTCGTGAGCAGCCCGGCGGCCGACAGCGGCCCGGCGTCGCCGCCGCGGCGCGACTGCATTCCGGAGCCGGCCGACGCCGCACCGGGCGCCGTCAGCGACGCCGGTGCCACGCGCCCGGCGGACCGAGGCGACGCTGAGATGGGTACGGCGGAAGGCGAGCCCCCGCCTCAGGGGTGTCCCACAGGGGGCGCTGCGTGTCCGGCCGGCGCCGGTCACGCTGTGCCTGTCGCCGCCGCTGAAGACAGCGCAACTGGCGGGGAGACGAGCGCAGGCCGAGGCTGGCCACGTGGCGGCGGCGGCGCTGAAGACGGCGCCGATGCCGACGGCGCGACACCGGCGGATGCGATGAAGCCGGGACAGCGCCAGCGCCAGCATCTTGTCTCCGACCCCCCAGCCACGCTCACCCGACCCATGACAGAATGGACCAAGCTCAATTTTGATGAAGGTAGAAAGAAGATCATTCAAGGTACGGTACTAGTTGTGGTCATTTTACCAAGCCATTTCCCTCGCTCACTCCGTCGATAGCGTGTCTCACATATGCGCGCGTGCCTCTTGACGTGTTTCGTTTCCGGTCGTGTTGAGTTGTTTGTGTTTGGGATGGGGGCAAGGGTTCGACCAGCTGGGGCGCCAATACTAATTCGCTCGTCGGTTCGGGTCAGCCGAAGTGGAAGCTTGCATGGGTTGTAAAGTTTACTGCATTGCAAACTGGCAGTGCATTGTACGGTGGAGTTGGAGGCACATCTCTCTTGAATGGGATCACTAAATGTGTTGCATGTCTCATCCGCTGTGTCAAGTGCGACCTGTAAGTACCACTGTGTGACGGAGAGTAACGCGTTTTGTTTTTTCAACAGATGCTTTTGGAGAAGAGTTTTTGCATGCTCTTCCCTCCGACCTGGTGACCAGTGTGGCGGCTGTTGCGATGGAGAGGGCGTCCGCAGCCTACGCTTTGTGTGTGCGGCGTAGAAAGCTCAATGACACCCCAAAGGCGATGAAGCGGTGGTTCCGAAAGAAATGCGACTGGACGAAGATCTCTTCGCAAGCTGTCAAGTGTGAGCTCATCACGGGCATGGGAGAGAATCTGCGGGCAGTCGCCCCGTTTCAAGCAGAGGTTCTTCCCCTGAATCCCTTCTGCATCAATCAAGGAAGCGCCCTGCCAGCGGCTAGACCGGAGGCCGAGCTGAGTGCCAGCCAGTGCGTCCCGGAGCCGGCGGTCGGCTGCCCGGGCGAACGGCCGCACGCTGACGACGCCGGACGCGCCCCGGCCGCCGCGGCGCCCCAACAGGAGGCGTTGGAGGACGGCGAGATCTGCTCGGGCGGCGAGGTGGCGTCGGACGCAAGCTCGTGCGGCGCCGAGCGGCAGCAGAGACGGTCAGCCAGGACACCACCGGCGGCGCGCGGGCCCGCTCAGCACCGGCAGTGGCGGCTGAGGCGAGCCAGCCCCGGCCGGCTGCGGTCCCGGTCGCCGCCACGGCGCGTGGCCTCCTGCTCCTGCCCCAAGTACATGCGCATGGGGCTGGCTGAGAGCCGGCTGGTGACGGACTGTCCGGTCCACTATATCTCGCCGGCGGGCATCGGCGACAGCCTGACCCGGGTCGAAACGTGTAAGGCGGGGTCCGAAGAACTCCTTTCGACGTTCAAGCCGTTCCCCATGCCGAACAGTCGCCGAGGAGAGCAACTACGCAGGGCGCAGGAGGCGGCCAAGGCGCAGCACAGTCTGAAAGACGCCGAGTCTGTCTCATCTGACAGTGATGTAGAGAAGGGTACTAGTGTGCGTCACACTGCGCAAGTAACTGGAAACGGGAAAGACGCATCTGAGCAGGTAACCCAAGGACGAAAAGAGACACCACACCAGTCCGCTATGAGAAGCAGCGAGAACGGCCCGGAACGGGTGCCTCCCGGCAAGGAGCACCAGTTCAACGGTGCTATGATGAAAAAGTGCTACGAAAAGTTTCAGAAGCTGCGCGAGCTGATGCCGTCCGCGCTGGACACAGTGATGAGCGACGCTCTGGAGCTACCGGGCGAGGCAGGTGGCGAGGTGTCGCGGTGTCACCATCCCGAAGACACCTCGGAGGGCCGCCGGCGAGCGCGGCACCGGGCGCGGACGGACGGTGCGGCGGGCGCGTCCGCTGCGGATCCGCGAGGAGACGGCGCGTCCCCTCGCGACCCGACCGTCGCCAGCTGCGGTGCGCCTGTGCCACCGCTGTCGGCGGGGTCGCGCACCGTCCCGACGCGGGCCCCAACGGGACCGAATGACGCTCCCTCCGGTGTGTTGGCGGCTGAATCGGTGGCCGACGCGTCGACCCGGCGGTCGGGACCGTCCATGGGGCCGACTGGCTGGCTGGCCTCTGTGATGGGCGCCGGGCCACAGCCGGCCGGCGCTGTCCCGGAAGACAGCTCGGCGCCGGCCGGTCCGCAGGCTTCCGGCGGCCAGTCCGAGCGGCTCGCCGGGCCGCAGGCGCTGCCGGCTTGCCTGACGTGGCCGGCTGGGGGGGCTGAAGCCCAAGAGGACGGCGAGCCGCAGCGGGAAGCTCTCAGAGCCGACTCTGCACCGTCCTCAGATACCGAGTCCGAAGCCGAGTACACTGTGCCGGTGCGGGACGACGTGTCCGAGCCGGAGGAGGCCGGGGCAGAGCAGCCTTGCGCCACCGTAGCGCCGCCGCCGGCCGCCGCCCCGAAGCGCGCCGGTGAGGCCGCCGCTGACAGCCCGCTGGCCAAGAGGGCCCGCCCGCACAGCGATGACGAGCGTCCGACGGAGCTGCGGTGAGAGTCGGGGCGCTGAAGGCACTGGTGGTGGTCGTGTCGGTGAGCTCACGGCACGGCGTGCGCGGCCAGCGGGGCATCTCGCTCGTCCCCGCCAGCGTCACTGCAACACGCACGGGGGGGGGGGGGGGGGGCACGTTCAGACTGCACTCTGGCATTGACATTCCGTTTCAGCTTTCGGCGCTATCGAGACCTGCCGTTGAGAGGATGGCTCCTTCTGTTCGACCTGGCGTTGTAGGAGCGGAATTGCGGAATTGGTATATACTAGTAAACACCCAACAAATAACTGGTATGCGGGTATGCGGACGAATTCGGGTTCCAATACTTCTAGTGCGCCTGGTGCGGGCAAATTATCTGCCACGCTATCCCCAGGCTGGGCTGGGAGCTAACACCAGTGTTTTCAATCGTAAGCTGTTGGCAATCAGAATGTTGCCATCATAGTGCTGCGATGTGAGTCATTCATGCGAGCTGAACAATTATTTGGCGAGCACACGCATGGTCAACGTAAACATCTGGAATCATGCAATGACAACCACGCGCGTCGGATGGCCCTTGTCGGTGTCATTTATGGTCTTTCGGGATAATTGGGCGACTGTCTCGTCAGTAAGAGATGTCTGAAGGAATGGTGTCGGTCAGATAGCTCTGTGCTAGCGCCTGGCCGATAACTCCCACGCCCCCACGCTGGCTCCCACGCCCCCGCGAATGTTTTGCGCTTTAACGTTTCAAAATATTTTGAAGCAGCCTTCCCCGAAAGTGTCCAGGGGGTCACTTGTGCAGCCAGAAGACCGTCCTTTATGCCCGCCTGTTTTACCCCTTCACCATACACGGGCGGTTTTATCATGATTGCTCGTTGAACTCCCCCCCCCCCTCTTTAAAGAAAAATCGGCCTGCGGCCCTTCATTGTACCACATTATTCTTGGCATGCACTTTTTACCAGGGCTGACCATTTCTGGAGCGCAGGGAGAAGTGGTGTTCTGTGTAGTATTGGAACTCTATTTCATACAAAACTCGGGCCAGTGCTGGGACATTCGTGTTTTCGGCGTCACTCGTCCCGCGGGCCGCGGGCTCCGAAGCAGCACCTTTCCTTCGGTCATGTCGGCCTCGGGGCCAACGAGGGCCCGAGATCAACGCTCTGTGTTTCGGAAGGTCGGAATTTTTGGTGTACTACAGTGGCGTCTTAGGGTACGCTAAATTGCAGGACTATTCATGTCGACTGTTAGGTTGAAACATGTCTATCTTTTACGTTGTCGGCCGAGAGAATGTTTTTAACATTATGAGCGGCTGGACAGTCGACTGATTTTGACCGTGGTTCCCCCTCGTCCCAACAGCCCAATGTCCCTCCCTCGTCCCAATGACCCACTTTAACACATGCGCAATTTGTCAACTTACTTTCATATCCTTCTTCTAGCTAAGAATTTGAAGTAATTGATCGTTTTGCTACAAGTAGTGCGCCATACCCACTGTCATTTTTCTCACTTTGATTTTTTCACAAACTTAGAATAATGTAGAGAATGGTATGCTGCGGGAATGGTACTTTTCAATGTCATTTTATGGTATTGTATTGATGTCCTCTTGCAGACGGGAAAGTGCGTGTACAACCATGCAAGAAGTACAAAAGGTGTCCTGGGAAAGTTTATGCGGTCTTGCGCATGCGTCAGGTATGTAATGACAAGTGAAATATCCTTTTTGTGTATAACTCAATCTTTTTAAGATGTGTCAACCTGCGTCGGGAGTTGCGTCGAGCGGCTTTTTTGATTATTTTTGTGTTGAAAATGACAATGCAGTTTTACAGCACTCTGAAATCGGTTTATTTTTTGTACTTCCACAATTTTGGCTCAAATTTCGGGTGAGCTGTGTGTCCACAGATTTGGCTCAAATATACTGTCATAGTTTGTAACAGGTACCGATGCGCGTGCTTTCAGAAGGGGGAAGCGTGATGTGTCCAGTATGCTGCGCTGGTTGTCGGAGGGAGGCGCTGCTGTCCCACATGCAGTCGGCCCACGCCATTGGACCGAGCTGCCTACCATCACCACCGGCGGAGCGGTGCCCGAGGCATAAGGCTGGCGCGGAGGCAACCATCGGCGGCACGTCCGAGCCGGCGCCAGGCGCGGAGGCAGCCATTGGCGGCACGTCCGAGCCGGCGCCAGGCGCCATACCCGCCGGGGAGCATGCACCGGTCACATCTGCCGAGGCGGAGCTGGCCAGCGGTCCGCAGCTGGCGGCGGCCGAGTGCGACACAGAGCCGAGTCGGGTGGCGGCCGAGTGCGGCGCAGAGCCGAGCCGGGCGGCGGCCGAGTGCGACACAGAGCCGAGTCGGGTGGCGGCCGAGTGCGGCGCAGAGCCGAGCCGGGCGGCGGCCGAGTGCGGCGCAGAGCCGAGCCGGGCGGAGGCCGAGTGCGGCGCAGAGCCGAGCTGGGCGGAGGCCGAGTACGACACAGAGCCGAGCCGGGCGGCGGCCGAGTGCGGCGCAGAGCCGAGACGGGCGGCGGCCGAGTGCGGCGCAGAGCCGAGGCGGGCGGAGGCCGAGCGCGACACAGAGCCGAGTCGGGCGGAGGCCGAGTGCGGCGCAGAGCCGAGCCGGGCGGACGGCCGAGTGCGACACAGAGCCGAGTCGGGCGGCGGCCGAGTGCGGCGCAGAGCCGAGCCGGGCGGAGGCCGAGTGCGGCGCAGAGCCGAGGCGGGCGGAGGCTCAGTGCGACGTAAAGCCGAGCCGAGCGGAGGCCGAGTGCGGCGCAGAGCCGAGCCGGGCGGAGGCCGAGTGCGGCGCAGAGCCGAGCCGGGCGGAGGCTCAGTGCGGCGTAAAGCCGAGCCGAGCGGAGGCCGAGTGCGGCGCAGAGCCGATTCCGGCAGTAGAGGTGGAGCACGGCGGCGAGACAGTCGACCGGCTGCAGCAGTGTCGCGACTGTGGCGCGCGCGTAGTCAGCCTTGTCAAGCACGCCGACGCGTGCACGGACGGCCGGAGACGCGCGCCGCCGGGACCGCGGCTGCACCGGCCCACGCGCTCTCCCGAAAGGGATCGTCGGTCGCCTGACAGGTGCCGACGCCCGCCAGATAGGGACCATCTCCCGCCTGACGGGGACCACCGCTCGCCCGACAGGAACTACCGTCCGCCCGACAGGAACTACCGCCCGCCCGACAGGGACCATCGCCCGCCCAACAGGAACTACCGCCCGCCCGACAGGGACCATCGCCCGCCTGACGGGGACCACCGCTCGCCCGACAGGAACTACCGTCCGCCCGACAGGAACTACCGCCCGCCCGACAGGGACCATCGCCCGCCCGACAGGGACCATCGCCCGCCCGACAGGAACTACCGCCCGCCCGACAGGGACCGTCGCCCGCCCGACAGGAACTACCGCCCGCCCGACAGGGACCATTGCCCGCCTGACGGGGACCACCGCTCGCCCGACGGGAACTACCGCCCGCCCGACAGGGACCATCGCCCGCCCGACAGGGACCATCGCCCGCCCGACAGGAACTACCGCCCGCCCGACAGGGACCATCGCCCGCCTGACGGGGACCACCGCTCGCCCGACAGGAACTACCGCCCGCCCGACAGGGACCATCGCCCGCCCGACAGGAACTACCTGGACAGGAACTGCCGCTCGCCAGGCAGGGGATACCGCCCGCGAGACAGGGACTACCGCCTGCATGACAGGGACTGCCGCCCGTCAGACAGGGACTACCGCCCGTCAGACAGGGACTACCGCCCACCCGACGGTGGCCCGCACCCTCCATTGTTGCGGCATCCTCGGTTTCCGACCCATATCAGACCCATAGGTGGCAGTGGCGGCGTCTGCAAGTTCTGCCAGACCCACGTGCCCTGCTTTGCCACGCACAACCGGCAATGCCGACGACGAGTGTGTAGCAGCTGCAGCGAGCACGTGTCCGGCCAGTTCGAGGAGCACAACTTGGTTTGCGTCGGCGGGCGGCGTCCTACACGGTAACCGTCCTGCCCGCCAGGGGCCGGGCTGCGCGCGCAGCGGTGCTGCTTGGCGTGTGTTCGTCGCAGTCAGCGACGTTGGGTGTAGCGAGACGGTCTGGCTCGGGACCGGACGGCGTCCTGTTGCGTCGCCAACAGAGGTGATGACCTACCTGAGGGCTTGTCCGTCGGGCCGATTCGTCGGGAAGCCGGCCTGCGGCCTGCTGCGCCCCGACGCCGCTAGGGGCGCTGGTGTTGCGTCGGACGTTCTGAGTTCATTGGACATTGTTTGTCGCTAGGGATGGGGCGTTGCATTTAAGCCATGCCCCTTCCCCAAGCTGTATTGCCACCTGCCGCTTTGCGTCAGGCCAGAGCTGCCATGATCGATAGACTCGTATGCTAGAGAAAAGGGAGAGGCAACCACTGCCTGCGCTTCAATCAAGGTGATAATTAATTTTGACAGGCTCGTTTTTTACAAGCAGTTTTCTAAGCGCGTTACGTCGGTAGAGGTGTTACATTGTAAAATACGTCATCCATAAAACCGTGTTTACGGGCACTTTATCTCGTTCGTAGGAGCGACTATTTAGTGAAAGGAGGCATTTAGAAGAGATGGAGAAAGGATGGCGGCGATCCGGGAACCCCGGAGCCCCTGATGTGAGGCGTGGGGTCGAGAATAGACCTTTTTGACATGCGACTAGTATTATTTGATCTAATACCGACGTGTTGCTGGCGCATAGGAAATCGACTGGAGCGTATCACATCGGTATCTTGGGATACACTTTGACCGCCGCCTTACATATAACGCACATCTTAAAATGTTACGCGATCGATGTTTTAAATCTCTCAACATACTAAAGTGTGTGTCTCGCACATCGTATGGGGCAGACAGAAGCACGCTTATGCTTTTATATCGTTCCCTCGTCCGCTCCAAACTGGATTATGCATGCTTTGTTTATGATGGCGCGTCTGAATCCAGCAAGCGTGTTCTTGATACCGTCCACCATACTGCCATTCGCATTGCTACTGGGGCGTTTCGCACATCACCTTCCGTCAGCCTTTTAACGGAGGCACACGAACCACCACTTTCGACGAGGAGGAAAATGCTTGGCATGCGTTATGCCTTGAAGCTGCGGCAGTTCCCACTTCACCCGACATATTCTGCAATATTTTCGCGGTTTGCAGTAAGTTCTCTTCGTCATGGGCCGCAGCAGCACGCTTTAACTTTTGGTTCCCGAATGAGAGCGTTATTGCTTGAGAGCGGAATTCCTGTTCGGGGTGTAAGGCAAGTAAGCCGCCTGGCTTCTCCTCCTTGGCAAATGAACACACCCTTCATTGACACCTCGCTTACGGAAATTAGGAAAAAAGACGTCACACCACACGTATTGAGATCCAGGGCAGTTGAGCTTTTGGCGTGTTATGAAGGATATACCCTGACATACACAGACGGATCCAAAACCTCGGATGGCGTGGGTTGTGCTTTCGTTAGCGGGCCCGTCACTCGATCGTTCTCGTTACCGGCCCACTCGTCAGTTTTTACGGCGGAATTAGTTGCAATCACCAAGGCGATATGTTTCATAGAAGTGGGTGAAGAATCTTCACACGCCATTTTTACAGATTCACTGAGCAGTCTCTCTGCACTGAAGTCTTTTTATCCATCATGTCCCCTTTTACAGGACATTTTATCACGCCTGACACAATTGAATCGGGTTGGAAAGAGAGTTGCGCTATGCTGGATCCCTAGTCACGTCGGTATCGTGGGCAACGAACTGGCTGATGCCGCTGCTAAGCGAGCAGCGGTAGCACCATATACCCGGTTTTTGCCTATCCCTGCCAGAGATTTTTACCCGGCAGTCAAGACCTTCCTGAGAAGCAGATTGCAGCGCTGTTGGGACCAGGTGGGGGGCAATAAGCTCAGGGCAAACAAGACAGAGTTGGGCTTGTGGTCGTCATGCTCTCGCAGTGTGCGGTGGGAAGAGGTGGTTTTATGCAGGCTGCGCATTGGGCATACTTATGCCACCCATGGCCATCTGTTACATGGAGCCGACAGACCCCTATGCCAGCGGTGTGGTGCCGTCCTGACTGTCCATCATGTCATTATATCATGTCCATGCCTCTTCGAGGAACGACGACGTCACTTTGGTTCACAGGCTTCGACCCTGACGATAAACGATGTGCTTGGTGACAGTTCCCCCTTTCTTGATCCCAAACAGCTATTTTCGTTTTTAAAAGATATTGATTTTCAAGTCATTTTCACACCGTACTAATTAAGTAACAGCATAGTTATGGGCGCAAAATGACCACTGCAGTCGACGCGCCCGAAAACTCCAATGAACAACAACAACAAAGAGCGTATCACATCAGCTAAGTGCTTTTGGCTGCGGACAGTGCTCTCATAACACTAAAAACCTGTTTAATGATATTGGGAGCTTGGGAGCGTTCAGTGCCCGCGGACCACAGTCAATGGCCACTGAATCTGTAGCCCCTTGATACGAGCGGTTGTGTTGCGTCACGGCCATGGGCATGTGACCAGTGTTCGTCGAACTCTGTCCAGCGTTTGTTCAGCCTCAAATTTTCACTTTCCGCATCTGTATGGCGTTTGAACTGAGATGGCCGTTTTCAAGAGGATTCCCTGTGGTTCACAGTGCTGTCTCTTTTAAGACGTCAAGTCGTTCCTGAGCTAGACGCGCGCGAACTCAAGCAGCATATTTCGCGCCGCCTACTTGAAAGTCAGCCGAACGTAGCGTGAAGGAAAAAAGACATTGCGTCGCATTGCTTTGCTTTTTCAGACCTCTGGTCTTGATTGTCTACTGCCCGGGTGAACTTCCAGAGAAATGTGCTCGATCCTGGTGTTTGCTCTGCGTTCGGGAGTTGGGGGGGGGGGGGGGGGCTCGAGTAAACTTGGCATGCGGGACCGCAATCTGGACTGAAAACTAGATGAAGAGGTACAATTTCCAGGTCATTAGACCACGGTTACGAATAAGGTAGCTCATGCCCTGGATCGGAGTGCTAAATCTTGAGCTAGGGAAGCCCTCCGCTGGCTCGGGAGGCCTGTTTCAAGCGATGAGCCCCCCTTTTGAGTCAGGAGACCAGTTTTCGAGCTGGGATGCCCCGATTTGAACTAGACATCCTTTATTGACACGGTCATGGATAGCCAAATTTGCTGTTAGCATTTTCCGATAAGCGAACTAAAACCTTTTTGAATCGGGTGGCCAAGCCATACTGGAGTTCCGGGTAGAGACACGAAATAGCGCCCTGCGAGGCTTTTGCCACAACATACCACGTTTTTACATTGCTGTGGGCAACTGGTCTGGGTGATAACGTGTGCTGCACTGAAAAGAAGCTACGGTATTGCGAAAATATTTTCCGCCTGTTTGGAGCAAGTGAGATGTTCTTCTACATTGGCAGAGAAGATCGAGATTAGTCAACACTCATAGGGCCTAGAATAATTGTGTAGAAATTTATGGGCCTCAGCCCTCAGTCCACGCCCCAATTCCTGTTTTCCCGCATCGCAATGACGCTGACGTGGCGCTATAATGCATGCAAGGACTTTGCGTAGTTCTTGAAGAAGAATGCCAGTTATTGAACGCTTAACTTAATACTATTAACTTGATTAAATTTCACTAAATATTAACTTGCTTCAGTATTAACGTTATTGCTTTGCTCAAATACTGTGTGGGTGCCTCTGCTGCAAGTGCATGTCGCCCGGGTGTAAGACCCGATTAGCATCAAAGTAGTTTATCGAACGGTTATTTCGGTTCTTAGGGCAGGGAAGCAGCCGTGGGCTGCTTCCCTGCCCTAAGACCGATATAAGTTTTAAAAACGGGCCTTTTTGTTCGATGCCATATGCCAGCTATGAGTCGTTTATGGAACGTCAGTCCTGCTTATTGCCTATTTCTTGATATGGAAATGTGATCTGTAGCTATTTTACCTGAATGAAAATGTAGAAATAGCTTGTGAAACCAGTCACGGACATCTATTGAAGTGAGGCTCTCTTCTTGACTATCGAGCCTCAGGTAAATAACTAACGTGCGTGAAATGGTTAATGACGTCAGTAGAGGCCTTTCAAAAACAACCAATCAGGTTTCAATGTTGCGGTAACAGACTGGTTCATAACGCGACAAATACGTGGCGCAGTTTTCGAAAGTCCGGAACAAAGTTTGCCGTTTGTGGCGTCCTGAACGCTGTGTGTCGTTGGTGGAAGCGTCGTGAATTTTAAGCTTGTGGATCTTTCTCAGTGCAGAAAGGAGCATCACATTCCTTTAATCCCTGTACCCTCGCTCTTGAAGGCTAGTTGGTATTAAGAGAAAATATACGGAACAGCCGTGATGTCTTCAAAGATGCAGAAAAACCAGAATATCCAGGTGTTTGTTAGGTCAAGGTAAGCGACGTTCGGCTTGTAACAGGCATGGCCAAATGCGCCTTACAGGATTGGTATACGGTGCAAATATAACCTGCATAATGAAATTCATGAACATTTGTACACATGATAGTCATCTTCCCAAGGGACCAGATGGCAAATATATATGTTCCATGGGACAAGTCCAGCATAAGGTTGATATCACAGCAGTGATTTGGGTGCATGTACACTCATGTTATTTAGGTACTCACAATGCAGTGCATTATCATCAATAATTTAAGCACCTAGAGCCAATCTTTCATGGAATTATGGTGTTACTGAGGTGATTTCAGACAAATATTTCAGGGCCATATTTTCACAACAGTTATTGTAAGATATAGGGTACTTTGGCATGACCTGAGTTTAATACTCCAAGCACAAGCTTCAGCTCCCCCATATGATGTTGATATCCAGCTCACTTTTGTTTTGCAGACAGACCAATTGATACAAAATACCAGTTTTTCATGCTTCTTGATAATCAATTAGCAGCGGATATACAAATTTTAAATACCAATGTGTTGATTGGTGCCAAAAAGTCAACATACATCTGACTTCATCTGTTATCAGTCAGCAAAGATGCAGGTTACTTAAAAGTCAGCTTTCACTTGCAAGGTAGCTTCCAGGTGGCATAATGACTGAGTGATTAACAGTTTTGACTACCCAAATTCAAATTCAGGATGTGCATGACTTGAGTGCTCATACGGCCACATTATTTGCCAACACTGCATTAGAGGTTTTACAACATTGTGTGTTCCCTTAAAAAAACAGTATGACAATAAAAGGAAATAATAAGATTGTATCATATTGCCTTCAAATGAAAAGTAACAATCTCATGTCGCTGACCATATTTTATGTATAGGCATGACAATGCTGATTAACATAGTAATTGATCTTGCTAGCCATTGATTAATTGACAATGTGAGTAAAATAAATGATACACCTATGATATGTCGATATTAGTATGGCATGCTGTCTTTGTACCATTATGATGTTGAATTAGGAACTTTGATAAAAGATGTGCTATTTATATATTCTATTTGAATGCAATGCTGCAGCTGTGATGTCTGGGGATGGGTAGAGCCCCAGTCAAGTTGTTTCCCTGCCCCCCCCCCCCCCTAAACAAACATCTCTGAATATTGTGCAGATGATTGGGACAGGGGATGATTTAATCCATGGAAGCCATGTTATATTTATCTGAGGCCAACCATTAAGCCGGCTGACAATTTCTGGGCAAACTCAATTGTTTCATGAGCAGGATAGTGTAATGATTATGCAAATGCTGTAAATTATATTAAGCTGATTTGACTTATGCTTTTAAGGTGGTTGTGCTCTGCAAAGGCAAGGAAAGTGCAAAATTATTGAATGGAGCCTAGTATCAGACACTGTCTTTAATCATTTTTACCACTGCTGGGTAATTTCACAGAAGCTTCAAAGTTTGAAAGACTACTACCAAACTCCAGGCATTGTATGCCAGGTTTCAGAGGAATTTGTGTGTAAAGTACCTGCCAGTGATATTGGTTTGTATAGACCTGGACCCCTCTGTACTCATGTTGCCCTGCATTCTCTTAAATTGGTGAGTAAATTGGTTTGCCAATTAATTTTCCATGTTTTTTGTGGTCATGTCAGGTTTTCAGGGAATGCAGATTTGAAGTTACTTTAAGTTGTCATGCTTGGTTTCTGCTTTTTCAATCAACAAATGCATCTTGTTTGATGGGTATATATATATATATACATATACATATATATGTAATATGTGTTACAGAAATGTGAATCAATTACTGAGATCCATGCATTGAAGCAAAACTTTGTTACAAAGCAACCATAATGTGATAATTTGTATCCTAGTAAAGTTGTTTATGTGCAAATGTAGTGCACCAGAAGTATGCAAATACTGTCCTAGCTCATTTTTCCCTGGAAATGTGATGGGCACTTGCAGAGATGGAATTTACCTCTTTCTCATTGTACTTACTTGGCTGTGTGTAATCAGCTTCACATGTCCTCTGTATTTTCAAATTCATGGCCTTTTTCATCCTGCAGCATGTTTTATGTAAGATGTGATATGTCACATACTTTCCAGGTTTACATTTGCTTATGGAATATCATGTTTTGGTGGCTTGACCACAGTCATAGCATGCTGATCAACTGTGGGTAAGATGCTTGATGGCATGCCCATCACTAGCCGAAAGGGGCGAGGCGTGCGGCGTGGCCGCTGTCCGTCCTTCTCGTCGCGCCGCTGTGCCGCCGCTGACGGGCACCGCCTGTGTCCCCAGGCCGCTCAACAGCAGCGAGCGGGGCCGCGGCTCGTTCTCGGTGCTGAGCACCTCCGACCACACGGTGACGCTGAAGGAGCGGCCTCAAGACAAGTTTGCCAAGACATTTACCTTCGACCGTGTGTTCGGACCCGACTCCAAGCAGGTAAGCGACCGACGCCGTTTGCGGCTGGCGTGGGCAGCGTCCGGGCTGAGGACGGCGCCGACGGGAGTCTGCACTGAGGCTGCAATGGCCGCGGAACACCGACAGCATGACGTTTTTGATAGATCTGAATGACGGTTGGATTAGTGCAAATGCTTTGATGGTCGGTGCCGTAGCCAGACTCACTGCTTTTTTAAATAGTTGGTGCTGGGGGGGGGGGGGGGGGGCAAAGCTGGCTGGATGGGCGCGGTTCAGCCAACGCACCGGTGCCGTGGTATGCCTTGCCCTCCGCCCCGCAGCGCGCTGAACCCACCGTCTGACATGGCTGGAGCCGGTGGGCCCAAAGCCTGGCTGCGCCCCAGCTAGCACTGCCTGGTCGCCGGCCGATTGACTGACGTCCTGCCCGACAGGTGGACGTGTACCGCGTGGTGGTGCTGCCGCTGTTGGAGCAGGTGCTGTTTGGCTACAACTGCACCGTATTTGCCTACGGCCAGACCGGCACCGGCAAGACGTTCACCATGGAGGGCGAGCGCAGCGACACACAGCTGCCCTGGGACCAGGTCGGTCAGAGCGTGTGGCCGACGGCGCGCGGTGCGGCCTTCGGGTGCTTCTGTCTCGGGGCGATGGCTGTCGCCAGCCGACTCATTACACGTCCGAGTGGCGCTCGTGCGTCGCTGGGCCGGGCGTCTTTTCACTCGTAAAATCCACCCGTCCCAGCGGCCGAGCGCGCAGCGACGGCGGCTGCGGCACTCATTGCGGGCCGGCTGACGCGTCCGGCCAGCGTTGAAAAGCCGCTGGTTATCATGCACGACCAGCAGCACTCGCGTAGCTGATTGGCGGGTGGTGTGCAGGTGAACGCCGGCGGCGGGACACGCATCAGTCACCTGCGACAGAGTTCGCCTCGGAGCTGCTAAGCTCCTGAGTGGCGCCGGGCGACGTACATTGTTTGGTGCTGGACAATGCCGCGCGTCTCCGCGCGGGTTGAAACGTGGTTGCGCCCGCGTCTCGGACATCCGCACACCCGTCCTCTCTGGGAGTGAACGCGTTGGCGGCAACAACCATGATCCCCCGACGCGGGGAGGAGACAATGGGTGGCGGCGGGCGTGCATGGCGGTGCCGGAGGCTCTTCTCACCGCTGTCCGGCTCGCTGGCAGGACCCGGACGTGGGCATCATCCCGCGCACGCTCAGCCAGCTGTTCGACGAGCTGCGCATCCAGGGCGTGGAGTTCACCGTGCGCGTGTCCTTCCTGGAGCTGTACAACGAGGAGCTGTTCGACCTGCTCGGGCCCGAGACGGACACCACCCGACTGAGGTGAGGCCGGTGACGCTGGTAACGCGGCGTCACCGGGCACACATCACCCACTGGTGACGTGATGTGGTGACTGGTGGTGCGGTGCTTTGGTTTGTGATGCGGTGCGGCATGACTGCTAAGGGACGTGCGGCGACGGTCGCTGACCCCATGTAGTGGTTGATGGCGTGTCTGTCTGTCTGGTGCCAGGTCCATTGATGTCAGTCGGCCGGTGACACGGTGACCGCCGCGGGGTTTGGCCGCCAGGCTGTCTGGCTGTGTAGTTGATCCTATGTAGCACAGTGCACAGTGATAGTACGATTTTTACAGTATGTCACCTTGACGATGCTCACGAGCTGCTCACTGCGTGCGCTGTGGACTGCCGCATCGTCGCACATCCCGTTCGCAGACGCAGCTGTGGTGTCCCGCCATGGCAGACCGCCTGACCTCGGTATGTGATGCGCTCTGATTTGTGGGGTTGGTGGGAGCGAACCTCCGCTGAATGCCGGCCTGCTGTTCGCCGCCAGGCTGTACGAAGACGCCAGCAAGAAGGGCTCGTGCATCATTCAAGGCTTGGAGGAGGTGACGGTGCACAACAAGAACGACGTGTACGAGATCCTGCGGCTGGGCTCGCAGAAGCGCCAGACGGCCGCCACGCTGATGAATGCCCACTCCAGGTGAGCACTGCCTCCTGATGAACACCCACTTTGGGTGAGGATTACCTCGTGATGACCATCCACTCCAGGTGAGAACCTCCTGATGAACACCTACTCCAGGTGAGGACCTCCTGATGACCATCCACTCCAGGTGAGAACCTCCTGATGAACACCTACTCCAGGTGAGGACCTCTTGAACACCCACTCCAGGTGAGGACCTCCTCCTGAACACCCACTCCAGGTGGGGACGTCCTCTTGATGAACATCCACTCCAGGTCGGCGCCACCGGCACCATCGGACGACCGCCGACCGGAGTCGAATGTCCATCTAGCGGCGGATGGCGGAAGATCGTTCAGCTCGCCTTCACCCGGTGGATATAGGTGGCGCCGGTATCGTGGTTCCAGCGTGCCTGCTGCCGCTGGCTGGGGCTGACGAGCTCGGTCGGTCTCGCGCAGCTGTGGAGTTTTCGCACTTTGTCGGGGTATTCAACCGAAATTAAATTTGCACTCCGGAATTAATTCTGGGAAGATTGTACCTGCGACACCCTCTGCCAACGAACCAAAAGATCGTAGCCGACGCTCATTAGAAACCGTACGACCCACGGAGACGCATTACCTCAGTAGTTGTCATCTAAAAAGCCATTGGTTATTTTCACCAACCTCCAACTATGACTTCCCAACTGTCTTCCCCGCTCTCAGATGAACAACGTTTCCTGTGCATTGTCCACTGCTCTGCGATTGCCCATAGCGTGCATATGCCGCATGCTACAACAGCATGTGTCGAACCGATACACCAGCAGTGGCGTCCCCAGTGCCAGCAACCACGTTTGCAGTCGGCGCGCTGCAGAACTCCAACCGGTGTCAGCAGTGGCGTCTGCCGTCCGGCCTGACCAGAGTTGTTCGGGTGCGCCCGCGAGGCTCGTCCGCAGGAACGCTCCCGGGTGGCCACCTCGGGGTGGGAAACGCGCCTTCTCAGAGGCGGTTGGGACCGGTCTCCGACCTGTGATTGGCTGCCGCGCGGTCTTGTGGCCGCAACGGCCGGCGTAAATGCGCTCACGTCGTTCCCGGGCCGGGTGCTTCTAGAACAAACTGCTTTCGAAAGCCGAATTTGACGCTTTGCACCGGTCCGGGTCTCGCTGAAGCATGTCCAACCGAACATTCATGTCGCAAAGTCTCGCTGCTACCAGTGGCGCGAAACTGCGTGGTTTGCCGGTTTGGTTCTTTTGACTAGCGCGTGAGGCGGGCGCACGCCGCCAGGGTATGCGTTAAGCTTTTATTTTGTGTCTATGACTGTCTACTCATTAGAGTCACGCAAGAGATGCACAGAGCCCGCATTTTAAAACTGCGACGTGGAATAACGAGGGTTGAATTTGGCAATTTTTTTTTTAATCACCTGATTTGTTCCCCATTCTTTCATTCGTGAACCCATCCGCCTCCGAACACACCACCTAATCGCCTAAAATATGAACATTCTCAGAACACATGTGGCTGCCGTATGCATGCAGCTACAGAACTGGGGAACGTCAACAGAACTCGCGAATTTTCCGAAATTACAAAGTACTCTAACCCGAAGTATCCAAAGCAAAGTTCTCACTGTCGTGGCGGTTGCGCCGGTTGCTGTGGCCTGCTTCGGGCGCGCTGTGGCCAGCCGCCTGCACCTGACCGGCTGCCGCCCCGCTCCGCAGTCGTTCCCACACCGTCTTCTCCGTGACGGTGCACATCAAGGAGAACACGGTCGACGGCGAGGAGCTGCTCAAGACCGGCAAGCTCAACCTGGTGGACCTGGCCGGCAGCGAGAACGTGGGCAGGTGAGATGAGACCGGCCATCCGCCGGACCGACCGGCCGGCCGGCCGCGGCGCCGCCGGCTCGGGCCGCGCGGGACACCGCCAGTGTCTGCCGTTAATCAGTCATCGCCTGGCGTATTTGAGGGCGTACCCGCTTGTCGGGTGACGGCCAGCGACGATCGGCGACGCTGGCGAGGAGGTGAACGGCCTGGCTGTCCCGGGTGGGCGAAGGCGGCGCGCTTCGCGACTCACTACTTGCTGGCGGTCCAACGTGACCTGCATGGTTCTGTCTGCGGTTGAGAGTTGTGGTGTGTGCTGCCCGGAGATAAGGGTGACACTGTGTGCGGGTCGTGTTACCATGTACACAGGACACGGCCACATACGAGACTCATTTGAAGTGGCCTCATACTGGTCTGGTACCATTGATTCGATCGATCAATATGTGCTCGGTCGTTGTGGACTAACACTGAGCAGTATGTGAAGGGAGGAGCGCCTGGCCTCCTGCGCGTGCTCTGACCGGACGTGACCTCTGCCGCAGGTCGGGGGCCGTCGACCGGCGCGCGCGAGAGGCGGGCAACATCAACCAGAGTCTGCTGACCCTGGGCCGTGTCATCACATCGCTGGTGGAGCGGGCACCGCACGTGCCGTACAGGTACTGAGAGGGGGGGGGGGGGGAAGGGGGCTGCGGCCGCGGAGACCGGCACAAAGGGCCGGCGCTGTTGACGGCCTCCAGTGACGGAGCGAGCTGGCGCAGTCGCGGAGGGCGCCGGCAGGCTGGCTGCTGAGTGGCAACTATTGGATGTGTTGACGCATTTGGCTCGCGTCTTGGTCGTGTCATTTTTTTTTAGTGTATAGATAGGGGCCCCTTGCCGTACATATTGCAAAAAGACACACGATCGAGGTAGTAATGTATGTCTTAGTCTATGGCACTAACATCTTCGGCAAGGCGCCGACCTGTCTGGCACGGGACAGGGCGGATCTCCAGCCAGGCGCTGACCTGGCTGACACGGGACAGGGCGGGTCTCCAGCTAGGTACCGACCTGTCTGACACGGGACAGGGCGGGTCTCCAGCCAGGCGCTGACCTGTCTGACACGGGACAGAGTGGATCTTCGGCAAGGCGCCGACCTGTCTGGCACGGGACAGGGCGGATCTCCAGCCAGGCGCTGACCTGTCTGACACGGGACAGGGCGGATCTCCAGCCAGGCGCTGACCTGTCTGACACGGGACAGGGTGGGTCTCCAGCTAGGTACCGACCTGTCTGGCACGGGACAGGGCGGGTCTCCAGCCAGGCGCTGACCTGTCTGACACGGGACAGAGTGGATCTTCGGCAAGGCGCCGACCTGTCTGGCACGGGACAGGGCGGATCTCCAGCCAGGCGCTGACCTGTCTGACACGGGACAGGGCGGATCTCCAGCCAGGCGCTGACCTGTCTGACACGGGACAGGGCGGATCTCCAGCCAGGCGCTGACCTGGCTGACACGGGACAGGACGGATCTCCAGCCAGGTAGCGACTTGTCTGACACGGGACAGGGCGGATCTCCAGCCAGGTGCCGACCTGTCTGCACGGGACAGGGCGGGTCTCCAGCCAGGTAGCGACCTGTCTGACACGGGACGGGGCGGATCTCCTGCCAGGTAGCCGCCTCCCCGCCCGGCGCCTCTGCGGCGGCTGTGTTTTCTCTGCACACACGCACAGGCGCACCGGACGGCGTCTGGTGACGGCCGTGGGCTCTGCCCGACCGCGCACCGGCCGAGCGCCGCGGGCAGTCAGACCCGCCGGGGGGCTGACCGGTGTCCTGGGGGCGCCGCGGGCAGTCAGACCCGCCGGGGGGCTGACCGGTGTCCTGGGGGCGCCGCGGGCAGTCAGACCCGCCGGGGGGCTGGCCGGTGTCCTGGGGGCGCCGCGGGCAGTCAGGGCCGCCGGGGGCTGACCGGTGTCCCGGGAGCGCCGCGGGCAGTCAGGGCCGCCTGGGGCTGACCGATGTCTCGGAAACGCCGCGGGCAGTCAGGGCTGCCGGGAGGCTGACCGGTGTCCCGGGTCACAGTCGGGTCCCGGCCGGCAGCGGACTATGGCGATGCTGTCGGCTGGACAGACGGTGTCGGGCGGCACGGCGCGCTGGTGTGCCGGGGCGGCGTGGTGTGTCGGACGAAGCGTCCGGCGCCGGCCACGTGGAACACTTCATGGCCGCTGTCACATGGTGGCTCCAGTGGAGCGCTGCGCGGCGGCTATGGCCGCGTGCCGCCCACTGGAGCAGCGGCGTCGGCGACCTGCGCCCGTCGCGGCCGGCGAGCGCGACCAAACATCGCAACGGATGACGGACGTTATCTGCTAAGCCCCTTCTGTCCGGCACCGTATGCACGGCACGTTCTAGATCTCCCCGCGCGATTCGCTTCAGCGCGCGAGGATGGGCGTCCGTGTGGCAGTGCTTTGTCCATGCCTTGTCACGGCGGAGCTGCGAGCCTTTGCCACACTGACACCGATTGATGGCCTCGGACCGTGGCGGCACGCGGAACTCGCTGGCCTCGACAGCCAGCTCGGACGACACCGGCTACGGACTGACGCACGCCCGTACCTGGCACGGCTTGTCCTGACCTCTGACAACATAAGACCCGCCGTGACCCTCCCGGCCTGTGTGTGGCTTGCAGTGGCTCAGTTTGGACGTGACCCGCCTTGATCGTATGTTACCTGTGGTGGCCTTTGCCTATGCGTGATCCATTGCGGCCCTGCGTGCTTGTGAGCGGTGTTGATCTCCGGCCCCGTCTTGACAGTCTGCCCGTGTGTGACCCGTCGTGACTACAGCTTATGTGTGACCTGCCAAGACCGCTCGCCGTGTGTGCGACCCAGTCCGACCTCTGTGTGTGACCTGTCTTGGCGCGGACCGTGTGTGACCCCCACTGGCCTGACCGCAGGGAGTCGAAGCTGACGCGGCTGCTGCAGGACTCGCTGGGCGGGCGCACCAAGACTTCCATCATCGCGGCCGTGTCGCCAGCCTCCTGCAACCTGGAGGAGACGCTCAGCACGCTGGACTACGCCCAGCGCGCTAAGAGCATCACCAACCGGCCCGAGATCAACCAGAAGCTCAGCAAGAAGATGCTCATGAAGGTCAGTCAGGCGTCGGGGCGGGACTTGGTTGTTACTTGGTGCGAGCGAGAGAGGCACTCGCTTGGTGCGAGCCGGAGAGGCATTCATGGCGGCGCGGGCAATAGAATAAGTGCCAGCCGTCCGCACTGGTGGTTGCAGCTCGGTGCCATGCGTGGTGGGCCTCTCCCCCAGCGGCTGTCCGGCGCGCGCTGACCTGGTGGGTGACGCTGCCGACCGTGACGGTCCGACGGCGCCGGTCGCCCCCACGGTCTGGGGCCAGTGACCCGCGCCGGCCGCCCGTCGCCGTACCGAAATACGCCGCCGGTCGCGCGTGGTCCTGAAATCGGGCCGCCCGCCGAAATCGCCCTGTTTGTTTGCGGCCGTAGATTAGCTCGGCGGCGGACGACGCTGCCAACTGCTGTGGTCACGTGACTCGGCGGCTGGCCGGCGCTGCGTGGTCACGTGACGCCATGGCAGCGGCGGGCGAGCGATCGGGGTGTGGGATTGTTTCGGCCGGGTGGCTCTGATCGTGGTGACCGGCTGCAGCGCGGGCTCCGCACTCGTGCCGCGGTAGCGCTGCGCCGCGCGGCGCGTGAGTGCCTCCCTGGATGGAGGCGCGCGCGATGGCGCCTTGGATGGAGGTTGTCCCGCGGCGTCTAGATCTGGTGTCGCCCGGTGGCGTGGTGGTTAAGCTGCGCGTCTGGGAAACCGGAGAGACGGGGCTCGATTTCCGCGTTGCCCGCCTTTGCTGCTAGAGTGAGAGGCAAGCGACGCAGCATGGCTTCAGCAACCGCGTTCGTCGTAAAGCCCTTACAACAACAATAGGAGCTTCTCGCTTCTCGCGGTATTGCGACGCTGGTTCCATTTTGCGTGCATTGCGTCTCTGCTGCGTGGTAATCCGCTGCTGCGGGGAATCAGTGAGCTGCACAGCTGCTGCGAGCGAGCAGGGTCCAGCGGTGTCAGGCTGCGGCTGCCGAGCGAGGCCGTTTGCGCGGCGCGCCGGCTCTGGCCTCTGTTGGGCTGAGGCCGGCGCGTCAGTCGACCGGCCAGACGTGGACACGTCGGCACCTGTCGCCCGTCGTCGGGCGCCGCCGCCACGCCGGCCAAGAATACCGGCCGGCGGCGACGGACAGCGGGCCGAGGTGTGCCGGTTCGGGTCGCGAGGCGAGGACGGCGACACCGCTCGGCGACCTGCCGCCCCCGGCCCGCGCTGGGCCAGCGGCCGGCCGGCCATTCCTGCCGGGCGGCGGCGTGACGGCCGCTGAGCGGGGATGACCGGTCCGGACCGGTCCGGACCGGCACCGGACCGGCGCCGGACCGACACCGGATCGGCACCGGACCGACGCCGGACCGGCACCGGACCGGCACCGGACCGACACCGGACCGGCACCGGACCGGCACCGGACTGACACCGGACCGGCACCGGACTGACACCGGACCGACGCCGGACCCGGGGCTGGCCCGCCGAGAGTGACCGGAACACGGTGTGCAGTATCCCCCGTCCCGGCCCGACCCTGAACTGACCGGACCCCCTGCCTCACCCTGGATTAACAACTGACTGACCTGACCGTTGATCCTGGATGAACACCTGACCCCTGACCCCGGATTAACAGCCGACTGACCCGACCGCCGACCCCAGATTAACACCTGACTGACCTGACCCTGCATGAACAGCTGACTGCCCCTGCGCTGACCCCACCCCGCTGCCGTCCCGTAGCCCCGTGCCCGGCGAGTGGTGACGGCTCCGCCGGCGCGCCCGCCCTGACAGCTGACCCCACTCCGCTGCCGTCCCGTAGCCCCGTGCCCGGTGAGTGGTGACGCTCCGGCGGCGCGCCCGCCCTGACAGCTGACCCCACTCCGCTGCCGTCCCGTAGCCCCGTGCCCGGTGAGTGGTGACGCTCCGGCGGCGCGCCCGCCCTGACAGTATTTATGTTGTGCGGCACGCCAGGGTCGGGGGGCGGCTCCAGTGCGATCGTTCGCGCCGCTTATCTTCGTTATGATGACGAACGGCTCCCATGCGCTTCTGGTTTTTAGGCGTTATACACACTGAAAAGAGTAAACGGAGGCCTGCGATGTATCAGCAAGAAATGTCCAAACACTTGTCCAAAAATCGGTTATTGAAAGTCGTTTGGGCGTGGGCTGATCTTGTCTGCTCTGTCGTCATCTAGCGTGAGTGACAGTGATGGCCTAATAATGGCCGACCACAGAGGAGATGTTGCCCGCCTGCCCCGCCGTGTCGCGCCGTATTTCGCGGGCTGAATTCGCGACGCCAAGCGTCCGTAAGAAAACCTACAGCATATGCGTATCTCCTCGGTTATGTGGCAACGCTAAAAATGATATGCAATTGCGAGCGTCTATATTTCTTGGGTTTCATGATGATGAGTTGGGATTTTGGGGCGCGTCGACAGCAAAGGTCATGTCGCGCTCTTCTTCGCGTTACGGTCGAACCGCAGCGCCACATCGATGCCGAAAGTTACGTTCGTGGCTTTTGCCAAACACTCCAGCATTCGCAATGTGACTTGCCAAATACCTCAGCGTTGGTAATACGGCTATTGCCGGATGCCTCGACGTTGGCAATATCGCTATTACCAGACACCTCAGCGTTGGCAATATGGCTATTGCCAGACGCCTCAGCGTTCGCAATGGGACTATTACCAGACCCTCAGCGTTGGCAATATGGTTATTACCAGACACCTCAGCGTTGGCAATATGGCTATTGCCAGACGCCTCAGCGTTCGCAATGGGGCTTTTACCAGACCCTCAGCGTTGGCAATATGGTTATTACCAGACACCTCAGCGTTGGCAATATGGCTATTGCCAGACACCTCAGCGTTCGCAATGCGACCTTTACCAGACACCTCAGCGTTGGCAATATGGCGATTACCAGACACCTCAGCGTTGGCAATATAGCTATTGCCAGACACCTCAGCGTTCGCAGTCATCGCTGTGTTGATGGCCACCTCATCCCGAACGTCGGGAGAGAGAGAATCCCCGCTCAAGGTCTTCTGTGTGATGTGCAGGGCTCCGTGGCAGGTTGGCACAGGCCCCCGGATGTTGTTTGAATAAGCTATTTTGTGAGAAATATATTTCGGAATAGTTGTAGTCGAGTTTCTCTCGAAAAACACGGACTTCTGGTAGCTGTTTTCTTTCGCTGCCACATCTCAACACAGGTTGGAGACGCATTGCCATTCCGTGCCCAAGATGTCCGTGTGAATATATAGCTTTCATCTATTTGTATTCAAAGCGGAAGACATTGCTCGGTTGGTTGGCAACGCTTGGCGGCCTGGTCTCACAATGTTGATTTCACCAAGAATGCGCCGCATTATAGTAGAGACATTAGATGATCTAAAGACGTATCTGGGCCTTGAGGTAGATCATTAACAATCTACCTCTGGCATATCTCATATCCTTACAGAGCGGTTATCTGGCTGGGTATTTTTCCCGCTTGTCAGGTAGCTCCGCCCGCCCCAGCCAAAGATTGTGATAAACCCTTTTTCTTTAATTGGACGTGCCACATGTGTGCGAGTTACGTCTGCCCGTCCCGGGGTGGCCTCGTCAGCGTGGCGCTTGCCATTCTGGCCACGCCCAATTATGTCACCTGTAGCGGGCTATCGGTGCTAAGAATCGGCGGACGCGACAGCCGACTGATTAATACAAATGGAAGCGGCGGCCTTATGTATATAGCGGGGCCGCCCCAGTGTCACGTCCACCGGGTGTCGCCCGGCGGCGGCCGACAGCGGTCAGACGGCGCCGACTGGGGGCGGCGCGGGCGTCTGGAGCGGCGCGCGGCTCGGCCGGTGCCGTCAGGGGGCGGCGGGGCTGATGTCACAGCCGGCGTCTGAGCTCACGGGACGGGGGCGGGACGCACGTGGCTCGGTCCCCGGCGGGACGCACGCTCCGCGGCTGCCGGTGTGGCGGCCCGGCTGGCCGGCCGGCGGCGCCCCGGGCGCCGCCCGCCGTCGGGACGCCTCTCGGCCGTGCTCTGCCCTGCTGCGTGCGGCCGGCGCGGCCGGCGCGGCGCAGGCCGGGCCCCACTGCAGCGGTCTGCGGCGCGCCGGCCGCGCCGGCCTTGTCGCGTGCGGCGCGTCCCTGTCGGCGGCCGCAGCGGCCGTCAATTGGCGGGGAAGGCCGCCGGGCCGTGTGCACGGGACGGCGGTCAGCGGCGGGCCGCCGCCGCCCGCCGTCTCCCGGTCCTGGCGACGGCTGCTGGCATGGCCTGGTGCCATGGCCACCTGCCACAGTCGTGTGGCCGGGCTGGCCCGTCCGTGCCACTGCACTGCTCGGCACCGGTCCCAGCGAATCGCGGCAGCAGTTACGATGCAACTAACAGTTTGATCGTTTCATTACCGTTCGTCTATTTCCCTGCAAGACGGTCACCGATATTTTAAACATTACAAATTAGATTCGTGGTAACACGATTGCGACGCAATGGCGGGGAGACCCTGCGTGGGTTTTCTGTCATGAAGCTCAGTGGCTCAACCTGTTGGGAATGTTTTTATAGCGTATAAAAAGCTACGGCTCGTCTGCTCGATTCATTTGGGACGTTCTTGTAACCCTGCTGTGCCTACATTAGTTACAAATTAGTTACACATCGTCGTGGGTAGTAGGTCGGCTGACCTTACTAACATTAGTTCGTGAGCGCCACCGAGATGTGCTTCGGTCACCGCGGCACGTGCGTTATTGAAGCCCATTTACCATGCCCGTATCGTTATGACTGAAGGCAAAGTGCCGTATTTACCGGATTTGTGGTTTGCTACGGTTGAAAAACTGCTTGCACTGATCAAAATGGTTGGTTGAAAAACTGCTTGCACTGATCAAAATAATTTATCACTCCAGTAAAAGGCTATTGTAAAAACCTTTCGAAGTGGCCAACCCTTTAAGGCGGCATCAGTTGCGAACCGTGGCATGCGTCGTAGTGGGTCGTTGTGAATGACCCCAGCAGCGTCGTCCGCGTGCGACTGTGTGGGCGCCGCGCCGCAGCGCCGCGCCGTCCTCGGCACATCTGGCGGGGCGCGCCGTCC